GCCGCCATTGGTTGAGCTCGGAGCAGCTGACAGGTTGCGGCCGGGCGAGGGAGCTTCGAGGATGGCGGCGTCCGCGACACTGATCCTGCGCGAGAGCCCCAGGTAGCCGCCGGGTCGGGCACTGGCGGTGGCTGCTCGCGCGTTGTCGGGGACGGGGCCGGCGCAAGGATGCCCCGTGTCTGTCGCCGTGGCGCTGACGCGGGGCCCGGCTCGGCAGAGTGGGCGCGGGGCTCCCGGAGTCGCAGTGCGGACCCCGCTGGGGTGCACGGGACTGTGGGCGCCTCCACCTCCACTGTGCTTCACCTGCGTGGGGTCACAGTGCGCCTGGCAGCTGAGGTCGGTTCGACAGTGTGTGGTCTCTGTCCCTGTTCCCGGAGTGTAGTGTCAGAAGCACCCAGGCCTGCCTGGAGTAGTGCCGAATCAAGTGGAAGGGTGTTCCGTTTCCGTTTTCAATTCTTTCAAACTTGATTATGAGAGAGACTCCCATTGGTGCTGCACCGTCTTTAATATAATACTTAATACGTGTCAATATCCCTTTTCAAGCAAGGTAGACTAGACCTCAGGCCAGGAATTTTGGGTTGGTAACATTATGTAGTTAGAATCTGGTAACATTGTTTTTGTTTTCATTCTATTTATTTTTAGTTAATTTCCACCTATGTTAGATAAGGTCCGCTGTCCATGGTGGTAATATAAAGTTTCCTTTTAAAATAAAATTATTTAAGTAAAAACGACTCTATTTAATTAAAAATAATTAATGGTGTGTGGATGTGAGAAAAGGGCTGAAGTATACAGGCAAATAATGGAAATTGGAAAATAACTTTTTCGTGCCTGGATTGGGCGGGAATCTTAAAGAAGCGAGTTGTCATTTTAAAGTTTTTCCTTTTTCCTGGATTCCTTGAGTTCTGACAGCTAGTTCCTTTCCTCACACCCGTGTGCTGGATAACACACATCACATCAGTAAAACATAAAAAATATGATTCAGTAGAATCGTTCTTATCATATAAAGTTGATTATTAAAATTGAAGCAGAGTTTTAAACAACTGTGTACTTAGTGACCCCAAATCATTTTATATGTAGTATTTTTTTTTTAAATTCTATTATCTGCCATTCAACATTCTTTATATTTTTGGTGAAAAGCCATTTCCCTCCTCCCCCTTTTCCGAGTTCCATTTTGGATTAAGTGATTACTTTAACACCGCCTGCTAAATTAATGCCATTCCTCACAGAGTGTACGCTTGCCCTAGTAGTTTGCCTTGCCCAAAGAAAGAGAAAATTTGCCAAATGAACCTTTTCAACAGATGTGCTTTTCAGGGCCATCTTTCTGGAAATGCCTAGCTTTCTTCGTTGGCAATCATGTTTTCTTTATTTCACTGAGACTTCCTTGTAGCAATCAGAGGTGTCGAAATGAAATTATAAACTGAAGTTGTAGACAACTGTACTTAGAACAAGTACAGTTCCACTTGAAAACTCACTTTAAAACTTTGTTTTAATAATTTAGCATGAAAAAAGCAGTGTCGCTGATAAATGCAATAGATATAGGAAGATTTCCACGATTGCTCACCCGGATTCTTCAAAAACTTCACCTGAAGGTTTGTACTTTTGCATTTCTATAGCTTATACTTAATTGTGATTCCACTGAAACTCATTTTCTACTTTAAAAACTTTTTTTGCAAGGTATATTGTGCTCCAATGTGTCTTTGAGAATACTGGGTTTCTAGAAAATTTGATAATGTCCCATGGTGAAAAGTTTGGGAAACTCTGTCTTCATTGAAGTTAATTTTTTTTTTTATTGGGGAACTTTTCAGAGTATATTATATGGTACTGTTTATAGTAAATATTTAAAGGTGAATGTGGTGTGCAAAATTTTCTAAATGTGTTTGACCTTGCAACTGTTTTATCATGGTATATATTTTGGGACTAAGGTTCTGTGGAACATGCTTTGGAAAAATTTTGATTTTATGAGTTCATTCTTCCTCTTAAAAATAATTCCATGGTCTTGCTATCAATCAGTATTTAATCTGTCATTTTATCTTTCACTTTTATTTCAAGGGTGTGGTTATTTTGGATGTATTAATGTTTAGTGATTCACTGCCTGGTCACCAATCTAAGTTAACTTTTTCATCAGGTTATAAAAATTTAATTCCATCCAACGCATGTTTATGGAGCACCCACTAATCGCTCTGCTTGGTGCCAGGCATCACCATTAAAAAAGAACTGGGACTCTTTCCTTTCTTTTTTCCTGGTCAGGAGACAGCCCCAAAGCCCTTTTGCCTCTGAGGTGTCTCCCAAATCCAGGTTCTCCTCATAGTCCTAGTTCAGATTCTTATTATCTCTCCTTTGGACTACAATAATTACCTTCAAAATAATATCTCGAGGCCTCTTCTCCCTTCCTATTGCTTCTTCATAATTCTGTTTCATTTATCTTTCTAAATATTTTTTTTCTAAAAAAAACAACAACAAAGAACTGGTCATATCAAAGCCATCAGTGACTTTCCATTGCCCCATGGGGAAAAGTTCAAAATCCTTCACATTATATTATAATAACATTACAATATGGCCACAACCTATATTCGTGCCACTTTGCTACTCCTCCAGTAACACTGGACTGTGCTCTTTTACCAGAACATACCATGAACTTTTTTCCTTTACTGAATAAACTAGTATTCATCTTTCAAGGACTTTAAATCTCACTCTCAGTAGTTCATTGTTCTCCCTTCTGTGCTTCTAAAACTTAGTGCATTCTCACTTCACTTTAGTACCTCATCGTAAATATTTGCTTCATGATTACAAGGTCTTTCTCTGACCTTGAATACCTTGAATATCATGTCTTATCATTATATTTCCTGTACCTAATATATTTATTCTTACACAATTAGCATGCAATAACAATTCTTGGAGTTAATTCTTTTCTTTGCCATAGGAAACACACACAAAAAATAGGTCTTCTAAATTCCTGCCTGTAAGAAATTTGTGATGTAGGTGGAGACAGGAAGAACAGTAACAGTAACAATAACAATACCAGCTACATTTTATGTTGTTTGCTATATACGGTTACATCATTCCCTCTGTGACTACTATCATTCTAATGGCTTTGTATTATCAACTCATCCAATCCTTACAGCAGCTTTAGGAAGTAGGTACTACCATCATCCTTATTTTATTCCTGAAAAAAACTGAGATAGAGACTAGTTAAGTAATTCGCCCAAGGTCACACAGTTAGCTCATAAGGCAGTCTGGTTCCAGAATCCATTCTTTTAACCCATTACAGTAAACCTCAGAAAAGAGTACAAAATAGTATATAAATCATCTTAAAACTAAATGATACAGGCAATTTATACAGATGTTCTGCTTTGATTTCCTGAGCTGGTTGGTGGCTGCCTTCTGAACATATAAAACAATATGGGACAAAAAACTCATACATCTTTTATTCTTCATGCTGAAGGACTCTGGAACATTTGTAGAGAAATGTGATGTGTGGTTTGTCTTTGACCCTTTTAGTCATCTCTGGAGTTGAGAATAAGTTAATATCTATTTTAGAGTACCTGAGTGGCTAAAGCATTCCACAGAGATGCTTGAATGCTATGAGGTAGGGCAGGCAGTAGGGATAAGAAGTGGTTGTTGAGAGCTGAAGGAGCTGAAGACAGAAACATACATATGTGAATATTTGCTCGCTATGAAAGAAAGTATGGAAAGGTACAATTTTCTTTTCCTGAACAGTTTCAGGAAGTGTTCTTCCAGAGGTGCTCCTATTGTGATAAAAGCTCTTATCAAATAAAGTTTGCAGTGACCTTCAGGATCTACCAGCTTTCTTTTATGTACTCTTGGTCTGTCAAGTTGGCCTTTGCCTCGAGACAAGCAGAGCCATTGGAACAGTGAAACTTGATGCAGGTGGATTGGTGAAGAGGGTTAGGAATTTGGTTGCTATTCTAAATGTTATCAGCTTGGCACTTTGATTTTACCAAGTTTAATTTGCTTATAGGCAGAGGATATCTATTTTTGTCCAAACTGATTCCTTGGAATCCCTAGTAGGAATAAACGTGGGGAAACTAAGCTTAGTATAAAATATGGGCATGCCTAAGTATGGGTCTGGGAGCCCTCTTTGAATTAACCATCTTCCTGGTCTGTTCTAGCATATAGAAATACATGTCAATTTTGGAGATTGCTACAATGTGTGGAAGGTGCTACTGGCATTTAATGCCCAGGAACTTTAAAAATGTCTTGCACAGTGCGGGACGGTCTTGTACAAACAATTGTCCCATCCAACATGCTAATAGAGTCTACATTGGGAAATACTGAGACAAATCAGATTAACTACCATAGCTGGGAACTTAGAAATAAACATTGGCAGCTTCCGAGTATCAAAAATAACCATCACAGCTCATGCAATTAAAACAACTCATATACTTTGCTACATAGGAAAGACTTTTAGGCCTGCACACAAAAGCTATTAATATAACCATGCTGTAGGTCTAGTTCTGAGAGATCAGCTATCTGTGTTCCTGGCCATGGCAGACTAGAAACAGCAAAGTGGGGGACGAAGGTGCTGCTATGATGAGGCACTCAGGCAGTTTCAAGAATTGACTCCTGATCATGGAATGGAATGGAAGAATTATGAAACTCATACAGAAGAAATATAAAAGCACAGACATCTGAGGTTTTTTTGTTTTTTTGTTTTTGTTTTTTTTTCCTGAAGTAAGAAATCATCAATATATCTTAGGAGTTCTTCAAGATATTTCAGCCCAGAACTTTGGTGCTTGTAATTATGACCTGAGTCATCACAAGAAATTAGTTTAATCCAATATACTTCATTTAAAAAATTCTAGAATGGATACCATACATTTTGGAAATATTTCTTTTAAAAGTTTAAAAGTTCATTTATTTGATATATTCATTTATATGTACCACTATATTTTCTCATTATGACAGAAAAGTTTCATTATAGTAACATAAAGGACGATCATAGATACAAACCCCAGCATATAGAAATACCTAAGGATTTTTTGTTGGTTGTTACAGTGTGTAGAGGGTGCTATAGGCATGTAATGCCTTGAGACTTTAAATGTCTTACACGTGCAGGGCAGTTCTGCACAAAGAAGAATTGTCCCACATATGGACAAAAAAGAAAAAGGTAGCTTATCTCCAAAGATGCATTTATTTTGTATTTAATATAAAGTGGGAGGATCCTTTAAAATTTGTTTATTGTGTGAGAATTATGTATCTACATACACACTTTAAGTTATGATGTATGCAGAGTACTAGTAGCGTGTGTTCTTCTATTGTGGTGTTTGTGTGTGTGTATGACTGTATGTGAATCAGAGCTTGGACTCTGGACCATAATCCTCTCTGTCTCTAAGTTTTAAAAACTTAATTATCTTCATAATTATTTAGATAATATACTATCGTCTTAGAGTAGAAGACTTCTATAATTTTCTGAAGGATATGACCTGATTCTAACCATACGTGGAACTGAGATTTGTTCTCTCATCATGCATGTTAAGAAAAATGACTTCTTTGAAAAAAAAAGTTGGAAGAATGAATTTTTAATTTGCCTTTTTGGTGCCCTTAAAGGTCAAACTATTTAGAGCGCTTAATTAAGCATTTTAATAACATTTTAAAGTTCACAAATAACTTATGAATAAGTTTTTGTTTTAAAAAATTTAAACAGTGTGGACAAACTGAAATGCCCCCTTGGTTAACTCTTGTCCCCCCTACATCTTAATTCTCTCCTGTATTAGTTATCTATTGCTGAATTACAAATTACCCCCAAATTTAGCAGCTTAAAACGACAATAAACATGTCTCACAGTTCTTCTAGGTCAAGAATTTAGGAGTGGCTTGGCTGGGTGATTCTGGCCTGGGGTTTCACATGAGGTTGCTGTTAGCTGTTGGTGGGGCTGCTGTCACTTAAAGGTTTGACTGGGGCTGGAGCATTTCCTTCCAGTATGGCCAGCTGGGGGCAGCAGTTGGTGGGAGGCCTTGGTTCTTTGCCACACAGGCCTTTCCTCTGGACATGGAGGTTGGCTTCTTCCAGAGAAAATGATCCTAGCAAAGAAGTTGCTGTCTTATTTATGACTGAGCCTTGGATGTCGCATAGCTTCGTTTTCACTGCGTTCTACTTGTTTGAAGTAAGTCACTAGATTTGGCTCACATTCAAGGGAAAGGAAAATAGGCTCTATGTTTTGAAGGGAGGAGTTAAAGAATTTGCAGAATAAAACCATCACACCTTTCTAGAGGTAGACTTGTTATTGATTCAGTTTTTATCTTTCCACATCTTTTTCCATGTATTAATAAATACAGATGTGCACACACATATGTATACACATAGAAATGTGTCATTTGTCTATGTGTTTTTATAAGTGGTATCATACTGTATATTTGCCTTATGTACCTTTTCACTCACTTTTATCAATGATCTTTCCACATCAATCCATATTAGTACTACCTTATTCTTTCTAAGTGTTATTCTTCCTTTCTGCCTGTGTATATAGGTTTGTAGCATAAGTTCTTTTAATATAGAAAAAATTACCATACTAATTTCCATTTTAAAATTTAATTTTCTTGGATCCTTACTCTGTAGAACTTTATAAACATGGGCCTTAATTTTCTCCCATTGAGAGGATAAGAAAGACTATATCTCTTTTACCTTCTCTTTAATTTCCCAGGTGTGTGTGGGTTGCTGTTGGTAGATAGAAAGAAGTTAAACTACTGCTCTTCAAAAGCAAATAGAGGAACTTACATTTAATATTTATCTACCCACGGTCATTTTTGTAGCAAGATGTATTGAATATGTGTTTGAAATTTTGTTTTATAGCTGTATTCTCCATATGCTGTTCTGCTCACTCATTTTAAACTCCTCTTTATTTTAAGTGTGCATGCCTGATGTCCTGGTGGATGGAGGGATATAAATATCTGCTTGTCTCCCTTCACCCCCAACCACTTTATTAATATATTGTCCTTGAAGATCTTGAGAATATTCCTTTTGTTGCTCTCTCTCTCTCTCTCTTTTAAATCTCACTTCCTTGTTCATATTTGGGGACACCGAAGTTTATTTTTCTACATGCTCATTTAAAAAAATTTTTTTAAAAAAACATCATATTTTGGTGTATATTAAAAGGAATCAGATTGACCAACTTGAAAGTTAAATTGTAAATAACCATTGAATTAAATGCAATATATGGTGCAGTAATTATGCATAAGTAATGCTGTTATATTTCTTATATTGATAAAATCTGGTACTGTAGCTCATTATATCAAGAAAATATATGGTAATCATAGGAAATCTGGAATTTTCAATTCAAAACATCACTCTTCAGGTAAGTAATTGGCATTTTGGCCAAATGGGTTCATGCTTTTCTCAGACATAAAAAAGAAAGCTCTCTGGGAGTTCTCGTGACTAGTCTCCAAAAAACTAAAAATGTGCCAGTTTGAGTTCTAATGTGGCTTCAGTTGAATAACTGTGTAGTTGTACATCATCCTAACCTGTCAAGGCAGGGACTCATGGGACTTCTGAAACTTCTCTCATATTGTTGTTGGGGAGAGGCAGCAGCAGAGAATGTTGTTTTTAGTATGTGTGCGTAAAGTATTTTATTTAAAAGCTGTCTTACATTTTTCTGTATACATTTTTCATACCTGATAAATCAGTATCTTTAGATCAAGAAGATTATTTTGGAAATGAAAGAAGGGAGACTAGCCAGAGGTTATACTCAGGGGCTATCTCCTTTCTATCATATATTGCTTATAAAAGTAATTGTGTAAAGTTTAAGTTTTGGAAAATATTGAAATTATAAAAAAGACAATTTCTTGATTTACATATACTCCTATAATATCTGATACTTTTGCAGAACTCATCAAAATGGATATTATTTGAATAATTATTTGTTTTTGTGTCTTTTTAACCACAGTATACCTGAGGACATTAACTATCTATGTAACACAAAATAGATACTCAGTCAATATTTTTGAATGAGTGAGGATAGAAATTACTATTAATTATTGTTAACATTTTGAGGTTTAACCTTCAAGTTTTTTTCCTAAATGTCCATTTGTTACGGTATTTACTGTTATTTTTCACCTCCTATAAATCATAGAACTTAAAATACTGTTTTTTAAAAATGAACCTCATTTGATAAGTTCTAGTTATTGAACTGTACTGTGATTTTGAGATATGGAAATTTACAAACAAATCAGCTTCTTTCACCATTGATTCACTTTTTCTTTCAAGTTCTCATTCTGTATATAAATGAATATTCTGTCAAGTATCTGAGTTTTGAATATCCGAATGTGCGCTAATAGATTGTTTTATGTGTTGTAGGCTGAGAATAGTTTCAGTGAAGAAGAGGAAGAAAAACTTCAAGCTGCATTTTCTCTAGAGAAACAAGATCTTCATCTAGTTCTTGAAACAATATCATTCATTTTAGAACAGGTATTTTTATTGCCCCCAATTTCTCAACCATGGTTTGTTTACTGCATGTTTGTAGTGGTGTGACCTCTATAACATTTTATGTTTTTTAAAAAGTATGATGGAAGCTGTGAACATATTTTAATCAAAAATTTCGATGTAGTAAAAAAAAATATTTGAATGTATGATTCCCCCTCCCCCAGTTTTGCTTTCTACCAAACAATCTTAATATTGAGTAACATGAGTAAGGTATTTGATGACATGAATCAAGACTTTATTGACTTGAGACAGTTACAAACAATTTTAATTCATTGTTACTTGGTATAATAATTTGGAAAGATGAAAACTTTATTTAAAAATTTTATTAACTAATTTTGGGGGATTTGTTTGACTAAGATGATAAAACATTTAGAAGGGAAGTACTTGTCAAATGACCTTATGTCATACTATTTCTTCCTACTGAGCTGCCTTTCCGCATCCCTCTTTTCATCTAAATTCAGTTCATTGAATAAGTTCCCGGTAAGTCAAATCTTCTGCCATTGCAGCTGTGACCCCTTATACTTGCAGTCTTCCCCTTGTTTGGATTCCTTTTATCCTTGACTCATCATGGTAGAGCACATTGTTAATCTTTCGTTATTTCATGGTTTGTCAGTTATGTCTTCTTCACTAGCAGCCAGCATCTTTTTTGTGTGTGCGTGCATCTTCTATAAACATTGCATATTGCTGGGCTTAAAATAGATGCCTGCTAAATTCCTGTTGGTTAGTTAAGTAGAATACTTGTAAAATAAAATTTTAAATAATATTTTAGTTTCACGAGCATTCTAGTGAACAATACTGTTAAAATGACAAGCTGCTAGGCATCTAGTACATATGGCCTTACACAAATTACAGGTCATAAAGATGACTAGCCTCAGTGGACTTTCAGCAGAAGAAAAGGGGAATGGGATAGGACAGAGCATCATGGGGTTTATGAGAAGGTTGTTCCAGAGTAATGTAAGAAATAGAACAGATAGCACTGTTAAAAATTTTATGACTTTTAATTATATATTACTTAGGAAGATGGTAGAAGGAAAGTAGTTTTGGAAAAGTGCTTCTTGGAAAAATTTTGTTAGTTGGGAAACAAAACTGTTGTATACTTCTTTGAAATAATTAAATGAAATAAGAAAATGAAATTTTAATTAGGTACCATTTACATAGCTAAAGCCAAGAAATTTTTCTGTTAGGTGGATTTAGGGTTACTTAAACCACAGGCAAAACTGAAAAAGTTTAGCCTGAATAATTTAGGCCGTTTAATTCTAAATCTTTCAGACCTTGGAATGGTGTATTATTTGTAAAATAATAAAACATTTCTGCAATAGAAATATAAAATATTCTCGTGATTTAAATCATTTAAAAATAATTTTGTTTGTTTATAGATCAAGAATATTAGAACTCTGAATATTAGAGATATATGTAAATTTTTTTTCTCTTCAATAGGCAGTATATCACAACGTGAAGCCAGCAGCTTTGCAGCAGCAGTTAGAGAACGTTCATCTTAGACAAGACAAAGCAGAAGCATTTGTCAGTGCTTGGTCTTCTCTGGGTCAAGAAACAGTTGAAAAATTCAGGCAGAGGATTCTTGCTCCCCATAAGGTATAAAATGTGTTACACCAAAGCTATTTTTTAGTAATGTATGGCATAGATTAATATAGCTAAAGAGTTTTTAAGGTGATAATATTCTCTAGAGAGGAAGAGTCAGGCAAAACTAAGTATGTATACAATATTCCTATAAAAATCATTTCCATATAAATTTACTACCACAATGTGATTTAGTTTTAACTTGCAATTTAAAATATGCCTCTATAACTTAAGGATAGGAATGAGATGGTCTTTTTTTCCGCCCCCTTGAGGCCTTGGACAGAGTGGGTTATTTTTTTAACTGTGTGCTTATGTATAAGACTTACCATGATTTTACCAAATCACATAATTATTTGTTTTTGTATGTCTCTATTAGTGCCTAGCAGAGTGACTTGCATGCAATAGGTAGTCAATATTTGTTCTGTAACAAATAGTGAACAAAATGAACACTTTGGGAAAAATATAAAGTAACGTCACAAAGCTCTTTAGTTACCTTTAGTCACTTAATGGAGGTTAGATGATTATATGGATTATTCCCTTTTTTCTGTTAGTATGTTGTATTAAATAATTGATTTTCAGATTTTCAACTAACTTTTCATACATGGGTTAAATCTCACTTGGTCATGGTGTCTAATCCTTTTTATGTGTTGCTGTATTTGATTTCCTAATGATTTGTTAAATGTTTTTTCATCTATATTCATGAGGAATGTTGGCCTATAGTTTTCTTGTGATGTCTTTGGTGATATCAGAGTAATATTGGCCTTATTAAATGAGTTGGAAAGTGCCCCCCACCTCCTTTTCTATTTTCTGAAAGAATTTGTAAAGGATTGGTATTATTTTGCATTTCACCAGCATTTTGAGTTCCAGTAGATCCAAATCCTTGTTAGAACTTGTTATTGACAGTTGTTTTCATGAAAGTCATTCTGTTAGGCTTCTAGTGGTAGCTTGTGTTTGATTTGCAGTTCTCTAATTAAAGTTATGTTGATCTTTTTGTGTACTTACTTGCCATTCATATATCTTCTTTGGTGACGTGTCCAAGTCTTTGGCCTATATTTGCACATTATGACAGGTAAAAGTCTCATTATAATAATATAAAGGACAATTACAAGTATAAATACTAGCATATGGAAATGCATGGTTTTTTTTTTTTTGGTTGTTACAATGTGTGTAGGGTGTTTGTTTTTTTAATTGAGTTTGTGAGTTCTGTGTGTGTGTGTGTGTGTGTGTGTGTGTGTGTTCTTTATATAATCTAGGTATAAGTCCTTTGTCAGATATGTGATTTGCAGATGTTTGCTCCTAGTCTATAGCTTTCTTTTCGGTTTCTTAACAGTGTCTTTTGTAGAGCAAAAGCTTTAATTCTGCCGAAGTTTGATATGTCAGTTTTTTTTCTTTTATTGGTCCTGCTTTTGGTTTTGTATTTAAGAATTTGTAGTCTAATGTAATGTCACAAAGATTTTCTCTTTTTTTCCTGAGTGTTTTATCGTTTTATGTTTTACATTTAGGTTTGAGGTATAAGGCATAAGGTACAGATTGAAGTTCTTTTTTTCTGCATATGGATGTTCATTTGTTCCTGCTTACTTTGTTGATAACATGATTTTGTCACTGAGTTGCCTTTGCCCCTTTGTCAAAAATCATTTGACGTAAGTCTTTTAGTTAGGTCTTTTTCTGGACTCTCTCTATTTGGTTCCATTGATCTATTTGTCTGTCTTTATGCCAATATCACACCATCTTAATTACGTAGCTTTGTAAGCTTTGTAGTAAGTCTTAAAATCAGGTAGTGTGAGTCTGCTCTGTACTTTTTTGTTGTTGTTTTGGTTATTCTAGTTTTTATTTATTTTTTTCCTTTTCATAGAAGTTTGAAAACCATAGAAGTTATAAAAAATCTTGCTGAGATTTTGAGATTATATTTAATTTATAGATCACTTCGTAGAGAAATGACTTCTTAACAGTATTGAGTATATCTCTCCCATTTGTGTATGTCCTCTTTGATTTCTTATGTCATTATTTTTCATTCTTTAACATACAGATACTGCACGTATTTTGTTAGATTGTTATCTAAATATTTAGTTTATTTTGGAGTTATAAATGGTACTGTTTTTAAAATGTTGGTTTCTAATTTATCGCTAGTAGATAGAAACACAATTGATTTTTGTATATTGATCTTGTATTCTGTGACCTCCATAAACTCACTAATTATAGCATTTTTTTCTGTGTGGATTCCTTGTTATTTTCTTTGTAGACATTTATGATGTCCATGAAGAGATAGTGTTATTTCTTCCTTTACAGTCTTTTCAGCTTTTACTTGTTTTTCTTGCCTTACTGCACTTACTAGGACCTGATATTGAATAAGAGTGGTAAGTTTGAAACATCCTTCCTTGTTCTCAGTTTTAGAGAGAAAGCAGTCTCTCATCATTGTTAAATGTAGGTTTTTAGAAAATTCCTTTTTATTGCTGTTCTTTTCCCTCCCTCCCTCCCTCCCTTCTCCTTCCTTCCTTCCTTCCTTCCTTCCTTCCTTCCTTCCTTCCTTCCTTCTCAGAGCTCTCAAGTGACCTTCTCATCACTGCTTCATTTTCATTTCAATTTCTACTTTTTCCTACATCCTGTATAGATTTTAAGTTTTCCATTTTATGTCCATGAAATTCTTTCTTCTTTCAACTATCTTCATTGAAAAAAATCTCCACTTGCCTTTTGATATTGCCTGTTCTCTATTTATAATTTTTTTCTATTTTATAGGGTCCATTTTTTCTTGCATTTATACAAGTACAATATATCTGTACAGTTAAAAATATTTCTTTTTATGCTCTCAATAGTAAGTCACTTTTCAGTATCTTCTGGATGATAGTTTCTTTTTTAAAAGTAATACTTCTTTCCCATATTATGTTGCATTACATTAACTTCTGTTTAAGAAGTGGTTTAATCAGATGTCATATAAAATGTGCAAAAAGGAAGGTGGAAGAACATAATTAATTGCAAATTGGCCCCAAGAGAATGCTAGAAATTTTTTGCCAATTTACACAATATGAGAGAATAGCTAATTCATTATTTTAATGCCTTTAATGCTTAATTAAGATAATATAATAATAGCTAACATTTCTTTTATTTATTTTTGACCAGCTGCTCTACTAATTGCTTTATATCTTATAAAACCCAGTAATAGTTCTAGTTTATATTTAAAATAAAATCGAGACTTCAAGAGATTAAATAATTAGTCTATGGTCATGCAGCTAAGTAAGTGGCAGAGATGGGATTTGACACACGTAGTCACACTCCTAAGCCATTATACTGTGCTACCACTTAGATGTTACCTGCAAATTTTTTTTGTCAGGCAATATAAAGGGTGATTTACATAGTTGTGTGTGTATATGTTTTATATCTTTGAAAAGGAAGGAAATAAAACTTTAGGAAGTGTAACTTTTCCATCTTAACCCAGTAGTCCATGGTGAAGCTGAGATGGAAATCAAGTCTCTCTCTTAAGCCTCGTTCCTTTTATATCATGCTACCTCTGGCAGCTGTAATGTCATCTTCCTTTTTGCCCTGATAACTATTTAGGTTATGGTGACTAAAATAGCCATGTGTGAACATAGATCATGTCATTTAAATTTTTAACAAAATATATGACAGTGACTTATTATATAATGAACAAAAGGTCTATTTACAATGCCTGACTGTTTGGTAGAAATTTAGAGGCTCACTCATGAACTATCTGTGTGGTGTGTGCAGTGGAACATCTGTGGGTAATAATTCTAAATTCAAAGAGTTGTATTCAATTAAATAATAAGTTAAAAATTAAAAGGTACTTATTTTTAATTCAATTTTAAAAAACATATCTTTTATTATTTAGATCTGATCATTGAGAGGCAGGTTGAAAAATTAATTTTAGTGATAGCTTTTTGCGGGATATGATTGAAGGGATTTAAAATTTTTATCCCATCTCACTTTTTAAAAAAAATATATTTTATCTTAATCTCTTTGGAGACTTGAGACTGAAATGTCACTACCACATATTAGAACTTGTATTCTCTCTTTCATCAGTGTTGACTATGTCAACAGTGTCCTTCTAAAAGGGTTTTCTGTTTGATTTTTGCTATGATGCCCATATGGTCATGTCATTTATTAAATTATGAAACCCTTTTCAGACCGAACTTGAATACTATGTTTAATTTTACTACTAGAATTCTGTTTAGAGTGTCTTTACACATATTTCTACTAAACTAAATGTAGAATATTATCGATATATCAAATTATCAAATATTATCGATATATATCTTTTCTCTGAGACCCTAAGGAAAAGAAAGTTTTTCCATGTGCTGGAATTAACTGAGTATAAATGTTTGTGAGGTTTAAATGCTGCTATATTTATTTACTACTTTTTATTGAAATATATTTTACCTGTGGTAAATGCAGAGATTTAGTGTTCAGTTTGATGAATTTTAGAATAAATACCCATATAATTATTATCCATAACAAAATAAGAGAAAATTTTCATGACCTAAAAAGTGCTTAGTTTCAGTTCCCTCCACTCTCACTTTCCATCACCATAGATTGATTGGTATTGTCTGTTCTTAGACTTAATATAAATGGACTCAAATAAATGTGTCTGGCTAATATCTCTCAGCGTGTTTTTTTTTGGATTCATTATGTTGTTCTTTGTATTAGTAATTGTTTTGTTGCTAAGTGGTATTCCATTGTATGAAAATATCACTATCCATATTCCTGTTTATGGACATTTGTGTTGTTTCCGTTTCTGGTGATTATGAATAAGACTGCTATGAACATTTGTGTACAAGTCTTTTTGTGAACATATGTTTTTATTGCCCTTGGGTAAATATCTAGGAATGGGATTGCTGACCCCTTAAGCCAAATTCGAAGCTTTCTATTGAAGAATTTTAACCACCCTATGCTGTACGGAATGGGAAAAGCCATATAAGTATGAATCTCTTGCCTTGAGTAGGTTCCTTTTTTTTTTTTACAAGTCAAATTCCTTTCCTGGAGAATTTAGTCATTCTCCAATGCCT